ATTTTATTATAAGAGCAAATGTACATCATAAAAAGTATGAGAGAGACAATTTGCTTTAAGTGTACGTACAACACAAACACACATAGAACATTGTTTTAATTTTCAACCTTAGAGATAGCAAATTGTACGATATTTCCGTAGTGATGTGATACATGTTCAATGTGCTAAACATACCAGGGATTAGAAATATGTCTTTCGTGTAGTTAAACATACTTGAATACTCCCTTAGGAGTTTCTTATTGCATTTGAAATTTACCACATAAATTTACACCGATGTTTCAACGTAACAGATTGTTCTTCTTTATATGCAGTTTAGTTTCGAAGAAAGTAGGAACTCGAATCAATTACCTCGCAGAATCTTATGAGCGTTGTACCGATGTTTTCCAAGAATCTCCTAGCATCTATCTAATGCTTCATACAGTTCAACATAACCCTTTTTTATTTTTGAAAAACATTTAAAAATGAGAGATCCTACCTACTGATTTTTGGTTTCCATGACATCTCTGTTTTTTAGAAAAGAAAGACTCAATAACTAGAATGATTAGCTCAAAACAATGAATCATATGCATAATCAACAAAGGATTAGATAAATATAACCAAAAGCAAATACCAGCTAGTTTGACAAAATGAAGGTTCATGTTCACAAAAGTGACCAAGTCATTTGATTTCGCATTGGTAAACAAACTATATCAAGAAAAAAAAAGTTGCTTCCAAAGACGAAGATTTGAGTCGCAAGAAAAAAAAAGTTGCTTCCAAAAAAGTTGCTCAAGTGTCGTATCGTTTTAACAACCAAAAGAATCATGTTTTGTTCTAGAAACCTCAGAAGAATAAAAAATTGTTCTAATTACAGTTTGAAAACTGTAACATATTTAAACATAGCTTTAATTTTTTTCCTTCTAAAAAATATAGAACTCAACAAAACGTACAATGTAAAAGACACAACTTATGATTAATTGGTGAAGATGATTTTAAATTTCTAAAGACACAACTCAAGTGTGAAAGATCATGAAAGAGCTCTGTGTTGGCCACGAGGCAAAGAGTAATTGATAATTTGGTCCACGAGGGATGATCCCAAAAGGGTTAATGGAATGAATAATGATTTATAATTTATAAATGTTCAGCGGGTATTTTTTATACGAAAATTGAGAATTCAATAAGAAATGTTCACTTGAGATTAGGTTCGCGAAGAAGCTACTCATACTAGGGATTTGAAAGACGTCTTTCGTGTAGTCGAACAGATTCAGATATTATCTTAAGAGTTTCTGGTTGCATTTGAAATGGACCTCNTAAACCTGCATCGACGGAAATTGTTCTGCGTTTTCTCAATTTCAATGAAAGTAGGAACTCGAATCAGTTACCTTGTCGAATCTTATAAGCGCTGTATCGATGTTTTGTAATAATCTCCTGGCATATATCTAATGCTTCATATAGTTCAACAAAACCCAATTTAAAACAAAAACCTTGGAAATAAAGAGAGGTCCTACCTATGGATTTTTGCTTTCCATGACATCTCTTGCTTTGTCAAAAAGAAAGTTTCATTTTATTTGATATTTTCAGA